GGGTCTTTGCTGGGCCATCGTAATGGACACACTGGACAGAGGAGTCAAGAGCTCTGGTGAGTTGACAGAGCTCCCTCATGGGTTGCCTTCGGTGACGATGAACAAGGAATTCCCAGACTGCTCCATAATGTTCCACATTGCAGGGCTCGATTTACCAACAACTTTCGGCCGACCTTGGAGGTAAACCGGTGCACTCCCTCACCATGAGCTGACTACGGAGTCGGTTCCCAACAGACATGCCGGAATACACAAATTCTTCCTGTCCCTCTGGTGTTCCCATCGATGGGGGAGTAGAGGGCGCATCTGAGTGTTCTGAAGGCGACATCGGCTCATCATCTGAAGGAGGAGAGACATAGATCTTGAACGGCATGTCCTTGTGGTACGACTGGTCGACGAGATGGCCTGCAGGAAGATCACGGCTCATCGGGTCATGACAAGGACCAGTAATATCGACAATAGTATCAGGCGTATTGGGATGTTTGTCCTGTTTGACATCTCCTTGCTCGATGTCATGTTGCGGTTTGCCGGTCAAATGAGGACAACGAGTGGCACGGTCCCAGATCAAATAAATGATAACCATGACGAGTACGAGTGACAAGATCACGATAGCAGATACAAGTGCTGTTTGGGCTGTTTTTTGTGGATTGTTAGCATAGTGTCGAATCTCGAATAGAATTCGGAGCTCACGGTCGAGTCTATTGCCAGTGCCCGGCTGGTGATCTCTCGCTTCAAACGCAATTCCTTCGTCGAGTCCAGTTGAGTTGAATGCCTGAAATGTGGCAGGTGTAGCGCTATGTTCGTCATGAGCGTTCATCTAATAGGCCCAAAAAAGCCACCGACAAAAAGTGAGATTTCACGCGACGCTGGGTTAAAATAAACTCACCTTGACTTGAATTATGTCGCAGTGACAAGATAGCGTAGTTAAAAGAGCGATAAGTTAGAAAAGGAGCGGAAGGGTGCGTAGTTTTGCGGAGGCAACCTGCGCAACGGATTGAAGCGGAGATTAAAGGCTGGTTGTGGCAAAGTGCTCCCA